TTTTTTCAAATTACACTATAAAAAGAGTTTTTTTTCCTTCAGCGAGTAAAAGAGAAGGCTCTCTGGGCATCTTCAGGGCAAAGAGTCAAAATTCAGTAAAAATCCTTGGATCTTTATCTTGCTACATTTTCAAATGGTCTTAGTAACGTCTTCATAGTATAAGGGATACATTTCAGAATATTCATTTGATAATGTCAAATATCTGTTTAATAATTCAGAGTATTAAACATAATATTTACATTTTTTCTTTAAAGCAAAGCAGAATGCTGGGAGCCAAAGGAAGGATTAATTTAAGCACTATAGTATAGTAATACTATCCAAGTATGCTAAAACATCAGCATTGTTGCTACTATTACTAACTGGTTTTGCCTTGTTACCAAATCTTTATTTTCACATTATCACCCCCAGTTTCTGGCCACATTTCAGTGGAGTCAACTGTAATCACTGTTCCTACCATGTTATTACTAATAATTAATTAATAATTTAGAAATTTCCACATTATTTCCTTCTTGATTCTAACTTGTTACCGTGCTATTACCACTTTGTTACAATTGTGCTGTGCTGAAACAAAAGTGCTACCCAGAATGTTTTGGTTTGTCTCATTAAAAAAGTAAAGAAATCAGAGTTAGATATGTATGTAAAAATAATTGGCCGGTATATTTTATCAGACTGTGGGTGTCTACAGACAAACGCTCATGTCACATGACTCCACAGACAGACCCTGCTTGGACTATTTAAAACTGTCCCTCTGAGATCTTTTACCATAGACTGACCTGAACAGGAGACCCACCTCCACATTACGATGATGCAGGTAAGAATAATGCAAGCTACACATTAACGACACACACACCCCAAAAAATGTTAAATTTAAAATGATATGATGATATGGTATATTCTGCGTTTGACAGGTTATTGATATATGTTTAATTGACTTGTGTGAAAATTGTTCAAGTAATTGTACAAATATATAAATAACATAACTGTACTGTTTATTAGACACGTTCAGTTTAAACAGGCTCCAGAAAAAATACAAATATATTATTTTCTCTCAGGTTTGTTATAATCTGCTAAATAAGCTCAGTTTCAGTTTAAAAGAGAATTAAAGGCAAAAATGCCAGACTACCTCATCCTAACAGATAACCTACGTGTGCTGCCTGTAATCTCTTTCTACTGTTGACTTTATCCTGTTACCTGATGTTTTTAGTTAACCATTAGCAGGCACTCCCAGTTCCGCTGACAACTTGTCATCAGTTTACAGACGCCTGACCTGTGAACTCACTCTCTGTGACGCATGCACAGAACAAATGTGGGGGAATAAAATTTTGCTTCACTAAGCCCGTGTAACACCCTGTTCTCCAGAGAAGTTACACAAATAATTGCAAAACTTTATGGCAAACATCAGAGTCATCCTGCAGGGAAACCCCAAATGTCATCACTGCTGGATACTAGTGGTATCAGAGCAGAGGTGGCAAAATTACACACATTGCTTACTCAAGTAGAAGTACAGGTACATGTGTTTAAAAAATATACCAGTAAATGCTGGTAAGTACTGAAGGATCTTCTTTTCTCAGGTACAAGTGAAAAAGTACAGACTCTGAAATATATTCAAAGCAAGACAGCAAATAGTAACTCTTTGAAGGACAATTCTATTCTTATGCAAAGGTAACTGAATGGTAGCTCTGGAGATATTTCTGTATATTAATATAATAATGAAATAATATAAATACATGAGAATACAAATGTTTTTCCAATCGAAATACTAATTTTGATGAATACACTCATCTCTCATCTGTTATGTTTTTTATTTATTTATTTTTTTTCAATTTTTTTAATTGACTTTTTTTATGTTGTCTACATTGTAGATGGTGACGTTGCTTCCATATCCAAACAGAAAAATGAAAAAATACAGCAGCTGGACTTTAGCTAACAACACACTGTGCAGCAAACAGCACACACTAACAGTTTGCTGATCTTTGTTGAGCTGATAGAAACATTTGAAATTACCTGACACTTAAAAAGTGTTACTGCTCGCTCCTCTTCGGTAGCGCTAGCTCTACACTGAAATACTGCGATCACAACTTGCACCCGTTCCAGCCCACTTTAACCTCTGAGAGTAAATGTTATAAATAATACATGTGAACTACAGGTAAGGAGGCTGCTTTGAAAATTTAATTATAAAGTACAGATACCTGAAAATTCTACTTAAGTACAGTAACAAAGTAATTATACTTTGTTACAAAGTAATTGTACTTTGTTACGTCCACTTCTGTATCAGAGACATTGTGAACTGAAAACAAAGATTATGTTCTATAAATAAATTTTGTTATATTGAAGTATTTTTAAGAGGCGACCAAAAGAACAAAATATCTGCATGATTTTCCGTCATAAATAAGACAAACATTTTTAGGGTACAGGAAACAAGTGTAGATACTGGAGGTGCTATAATCCCTTTCCTCTCCTCTAGGAGACATTCCTCGTAGCTGTGCTCGTTCTTGTGGCCTCAGTCCACTCCATCTCCCAGTTTTACCTTCCCATTGACTGTGATGACATATATGGCAATGACAACACAAGCTCCAGTGGAGTCTACAAAATCTACCCAGGAGGTCCCACTACTCCCCTGCATGTCTACTGCGACATGGACACTGATGGAGGGAGATGGACTGTCAGTATCAAATCCTATCATCATATTTTCAATTTTTTTTTTCTTTTTTTTTTTTTTTTGGGGGGGGGTCACCGTGCTGCAGAATAAAACATGTACTTTTGTGCTGACAAACATGTCACAAGCACAAAAATACCAAGCTGAATTTCATGAAACCCTCTGGAGTGGTGGCACCTGGGCAAAAATGAAATCTTTAATTGTGATATATGTTTTTGGCATCAGTGGAGAATGCAGATGTGACCAACTAATAATCCTCAAATTACCTGATTTAAAAACAAACAAACAACCAAACAGAGGTGATCCAAGATCTTGTTAGATAAACATATAGCATTTCATGTTAGTACACATTAAAGGTCTCAGTTTGTTTCGTATTCTCCCTCTCAGGTATTTCAGAGGAGGATCGATGGGACTGAAAGCTTCTTCAGGCCCTGGAGGCACTATAAGACAGGGTTTGGGAATGTGGCTGGAGAATATTGGCTGGGTGAGTGCAGGAAGGAGAAGTGCATTAAAGACAAGGCGCTTGTGCTGCTTTTAATCTAAACTTTGTGTGGCGAGATGAAATGATGGAGCCTGGGAAAGAAACAGTGTCAGAAATAGGATGCTGGTGCACGATGCGAAGTGAAACAGGGTTGTGTGTGTGTGTCTTTCCAGGTCTGGAAAACATCTTCCTGCTGACTATGAGGAAGGAGAACGAGCTGCGGGTCGACATGGAGGACTGGAACGGAGAAAGGAGGTCCGCACAGTACTCCTCCTTCTCAATTGAGTCTGAGACTGTTGGGTATCAGCTTCACCTGGGCAGCTTCACTGGCGGTGCAGCAGGTGAGGAGTGTGTCGGGCACAAAAAACTGTGGATCATTTTTAAACCTGACCAAAAATAAAATTATAATAATGAAAGAACATATTGATTTTTAAAAATTTGTTTAAGTGGAAAAATCCCATTAAAGAGATATGCCAGTGTAGCTTATTAATTTGAATAATGTTTTTTTTTTTTTATCTTAATGGTTTGCAAAGTGCAGTGTTTGGTCTGTAAAGAGTCATTCTCTTCCTTTGAAAGGACAGCTAAAGAGACAATTGTTAAGATAATAATTAGGAATTAACTGCTGAAAATAAAGGCTGAGGAAAAGTTCCAAACTATTTTCCTCTACATATTACCGCCAAGTAAATTAACTACTCCTGTCAAACACAAAAAGCCAAATAACAAATACAAACCCGTGTGAGAAAAGTAAAAAAAGACCATAGAACCTTCTTAGTCTTAACTGCACTCACATCTTTCCC